TGACCACACTCCCAGGTGCCTGAGAGTCCCCTCCTCTGCTGGGGGATCTGCATCTCCTCAGGAACCTCTCCTCAAACAGCCAAGAATGTGACAAGTGCTGGAACAGCATTTGCATTATCCACTGCTGGTGGCTGAGGCACGAACTGTTCAGCTTTTTTTTTTTTTAAACAGAGGATGGAGGCAAAATTTTGCTGTATGCTGCCATCTGCTGTGGGCTTCATTTGATTATGAGCATTTCAAATCTGCTTCTGACAGAGATAATGCTGCTTAAAGGTGACCAAATAAATGACACATGGAGTTGTATGGAAAGGATCTAAAACTCCCTTCCACTTGACCCTCTATGCAAAATATCCTTCAAACGGTGGGAAACCTGTAGGAAGGAATTATTATTTACTAGTGATTTTAAGGGCAAATTATTTTCTCTAAGTGCTTCATGCTGTGGTGCTTCAAGGCATTCTTGTTCTTTTCTCTTCCCGTCTCATTTTTCCCTCCCTCCCTGCCTTCCCTCTCCCCTGAAAGCTCCAGGAGGACAAATTTATGGGTGGCAGAGCAGAGCAGAGCTCTGATGTTGGTGCCCGAGGCAAGACCAGGCTCCTGCCTCAGCTGCCAGCCCTGTGCCTGCATTTACCTTGAGTAAATATGCTCCAGCATTAGGAGGTGGGGAAATCAATAATCCTTTTTCCTCTTGCTCATTGCATTTTACAATTGTGCTGCTCACACTGGCAGCTATCAAAGCTCTCTTCAGGGAAATGAATTGGTGATGGAGTCAGTTTTCTTTTGATCAGGAAAACTGGTCTGGTGGTATTTTGACAACCCACGAGATTGGTGCATTTTTTACCTCCCCCTTGCCAAAAATGATGCAAACTATTCAAAAACTTACTCACATACCTGATATCAATGCAGGGGCCACAACCTGCCATCTTCTGCTGGGGCTGGAGCTCCACCAGCAAAAAAACGTGTGACACAAGCAACAAAACAAACTTGGAAGCCTCTGCTCAGGTTAAACACATCAAAAGAGAGATTAGAGGCAATGATCGAGTGTGCTCTTTCAGTCCAGATAAGAAACACTTCCTTGTACCTTCCCTAAAGTCAAACACACCAGGTAAGCTCCTTTCTTACTGTGTTTTATGTAATCTGGGGCTCTTGGTGCCCACAGCTCTGATACTGCTTCTCACAGGGCTTTTTGTTGGAGGAAATAAAATTGGCCTATGTTGGAACCCTGGAAACTGAGAATTTTATTCTTTCTGTGCTGACAGGCACTGATCCCCAGGAGAACTCTGCATTTGACCTGAGGCTGTGGAGAAGTCTTCCAAAATTGAGTGATCAAACTAGGATCAGAGGTGTGTAGTTTGAATAGAAGTGTGTAGTGTCACATGGTGGAAAACTTAGAATTTAGGGTTTTAGAATATAGTAATAGGTATAAAGCAAGATGGAGGTTCTAGGGCAGAGGTTTTGTCCTTCTTCTTCACCTTCTTCTTCATGGGTCTGGGTGATTTTGTTTAACTGGATAGAAAATTCCACATTGCGGGCCACGGGTGGTTGGTTATTGGGTTAAAAGTAAAAATAATTTATGTGACTTTTCTTAATTGGACAGTTTGCCCTTAAAAGACCTTGTAGAGAGTGAGATACGTCTCCATTTTTAGCTTGTTAGCTTGAAGTGCTGTAGAACTCACTGTAATATAGATAAGAATTAATAAACAACTGAGTCCAAACAAGAAATGCCATATCGAGCTTTTAATCCTGACTCTGGCAGAAAAAGAAGATAAAACTCGATAGGCCTGCAGATCTTAAACCACTGCTACACTCACAGAGATGCTGGGGGCTGTGCAGCTTTCAGGGATCAAACTAGGCTGGAACCAGAACCAGCAGGATGATGCACAGTGCAGCACTGAGAATGAAACCTTTCAACCTGCTTTGTTTGGACATTGGAGACACTCTAAAGAGTGAAGAGCCAGATCTATTTTTTTTTTTTTAAGCCTAATGTACAGTTCTTAAATTTGCATTTACAGACTTGCTTGAATCTTGCCCTAAGAGTAGAGCTGGGCAAGCTGTGCTGGGATGTACCTGGTGCAGGATGTGTTAAAAGCATGTCAAAAGCAAGTTAAAGGCATGTCACCTCTTAGAAGGCACTTTGGCTTCATCAGATACAAATCTTAGGCTCTCATTTTTATGCTTATCTCTGCCTCTGTACAGAAATTTCCAGCTTATTTGCACATCACAAGTGAAAAAAAAAAATACATTTCAGATTGGCCAAAGGAGAGTGATATTCATCCATGTGATATTTTTCAGAATGTCTGAGAAAACTGCATATTGAATAAAAGTCACTTGTGGTTCATCTAAACTTACCAGCTTTGTCTCAGTTGCCTGACTGAGCTGTCATGGTGACAGGAACAGATGATGAATGGTAAAGGAATTTTTCTTCACGTGCTGGACATTTCTTGCAAAGTCCAGCATGTGAAGAACATTGGATAAATTTCCTGGCAGTCTGTGACATGTTGCTGCAAGGCTGTGCCTACAAGCACAAGTGTTTCTAAGAGATACTGAGGTTGTAATTTAACCCTGTGTCACATCAATGATCTGAGTTCACAAACCAGAGGCTTTCATCAGCCTCTTTAATAATGTGGCAAATACACACACCCCTAATATAAAGGTCTTAAACACTCCCAAGGTGTTTACCATGAAACCCCTAATCAGGATTAGTTAAACCAGAGCTGCCTTCAGCCCCACCTGCTTTGGCAGCCCCTCTGTACCCGCACATGTGGTATTGAAAATTATTTTTGTTGAATGAAAGAAGAAATCCTAAGGAAAAGGAAAGGTTTGGTAACCTGCCTTAAAAAATTCTCCTTGAAAAGTTACTCTTCTGTGCACCAGTTCATTGCAGCTGTGATACTGATAACCAGTTCATCAGTCCCACATCTCTGAATAAAACACAATGTCCATGTCTGTACAAAACACCTCCCACAGCAAATGTCCTAAACCCCCAGGTATATTCACTTGGGCTTAATATAAAGAAATATGTTAATATTGTGATTCCATTTATTTTAAAGCCTCTGGAATGAATGTTGGTGGCATATAGAGGGGGAGGAAAATCCAGCTGGAGGGAGTGACTCTTTTATGTGGCAAGGGGGTTGGAGCTGGGTGATATAAGCCAAACCATTCCATGATTCCATGATTCCATATCCTGCCTGTGCTTTATTAAGACAGCACAGCAATGGGTCTAACAGAAATCAGAGGAAGACTGAAGGAAGATCTGCAGGCTCACTGGGCTGGGTCTACCCATAAGTGACTGGAGGTCAATGTGGCTTCTGGCTGGGAAGATTTCAGTAGCTTTCCACATTTTACACTGGATTTCTCTTTAATACAAAAGCAGACCACAATGGATGCTTATCATATAGTCTTTTTATAGAAACAGAAGAGTTCAAAAGGAATTTTCAGGGGTTCTTTCAGAAATATGAAATAACAACACTGTCAGCTCCAAGAGCAGCACTCGCCTCCAGACTGCTGATGAAACTAAAATATCAGCTGTGAAAATGTCGTGATAACAAGCAATGAACATTAAAACTCTTCTGAAAATGTCTCAGCTACACCAGGGTTCAACATACTTTGTTGTAGTTCTGTCATGCTCTGCCAGTTGAAATTAATTCCAGTTTTAGTGTCAGCTTTGCAATAATGATTCCCTCTTCTTTTTAACGACATGCAGGCTTGGGAAGTGATGTTTCCATTGCACTGCAGCTTCTTCAGGCAGGGTGAAAGGTTTTGGTGCAGTGTCCTGTGAGATCAAGGTTTGTATCCACAGAACAAAGTGGAGGGTGACAGTTCGTGTGGGTTTGCTGTTTTCTCTCGAATTTTACCTGATACATTGCAGCAAAAATTAAGTTCTGATTCTGCTGGCGCTTTCTTGCAGCAGTGGTGATGCAAATACTGATTAGAAGCATCCAAAACCACATCTCAAGCAGATCACCAGCACCTGAGCAGGTGATAAGATCAGTTTTGGCTGATACTGGAGAGTTCTGACAATATTACCCATTATTCAGCCCATGCCATCCCCAGCGATCAATTCTAAAATTGACAGCTTTCACCCTGGGAATCTTACAAAGGGCAAGTGTCAAACAATCAGGCATTTTCCAGCCTAAAAATAACTGAGACCGTTGTATTAAAATGGAAATCAGGAAACCACAGCAGCATTTCAGATATTTTGTCCTTTGTCTGGCTGGCATCAGTCCATCCACACACTGATATCACTAGGAGGCACAAAGAGTGTGGGATCTGTATTGTCCCATTAGCAGAGAAAAGGAGGGAAAGGCATAAAGAAGCTCCTCTTCCATGTAAGTTCAGTAAGCTCAGAATTTTACAGTCAAGTTACAACCTGTTGCTCATTTCAGAGCTATTTACTGCAGGAAAACACCTAAGAATTCAATTTTTAGGAACTTTGTTCCCAGTGACATGATAATATATTTGAATTCAGAGATTCTTTGTTCTAAGAGTTGAACATACTTGTCAAAAGTGCCAAACTTCTGCCTCCTGCTTGGTTTTGCATTCAGAGGAAGCTGCTGCTGCCTGTGCAACAGAGCACGGACCTCTCGTGGACCTATATGAATACTTTCAGGAAAAAAGGTATTTTTATAGTCTGAATCTTGGAAGGCAAGCACTAAAATAACAGTGAGCAACCTGATCTAAAGCTGTCATAGTCTTTTTCTACAAAACTTTATCGTGTCAGCATTCAGGGTTTTCAGTCTTAGCTTTTTTTTCTCAGTGTACAATTTGTAGCTGACAGTAAACACACATGGTGATCATCCATCACCCATCTGCTTCTTCCACCCAAAACAGGCTGAATGTGCAACAAGTGCATCAAGTGCAGTCGCCAGTAGCAAAAAGAAATGGTGAAAGGTGCTCTGTGAAGGTCCAGAGCCCAGAGCAGGTGACCAGAAGAACAGGCTGGTCCATCTGCAGGGCTGGAGTGTGGTGTGGATTTTCAGGAGCCCAGGGCACAGCCACCCTGCTCAGGTCTGCAGTTCTTCTCTCTGGGGGGAAAAAAAAAACATTTATGCATCTGTTGCAAACGCTGGTGTTGCCACCCCTTGAACTCTGAAAGGGTTTTCCCACTGTACTCAGGTCACCAAGGGAACTGAGGGGCTGCTGGATCCTGCCAGTGGGATCAGAGAAACATGGAATGGTTTGGGCTGGAATGGACATCAAAGATCTTCTCATTCCAACCCCCTGCCATGACAGGGACACCTTCCACTGTCCCAGGCTGCTCCAAGCCCCAATGTCCAACCTCTCCTTGGGCACTGCCAGGGATCCAGGGGCAGCCACAGCTGCTCTGGGCACCCTGTGCCAGGGTCTCACCACTCTCACAGGGAAGAATTTATTCCTAACATCGAATTTAAATCTACTCTCTGTTGGTTTGAAGCCATTCCCTGTGTCCTGTCACTCCAGGCCCTTGTCAATAGTCTCTCTCCATCTTTTCTGCAGGCTCCCTCGGGTCACCCCACAGCTTCTCTGCTCCAGTTTGATCTGGGCTGTGCCCCAGTACAGCTCTGCCAGGTACCAGCCATTCCCTTGGCCCCACTTCCAAAGGCACACTAGTTCTATTTTCTTTAGGTTTGCTTCAGAGTCCATAAAAAAAGTCCATGTTTCCATGCTGCACCTGAAAATCCTTTCTAAGGGGTTAAACTTAGGAATTAATGTTTACATCTAAGGATGTCCCTCTGAAAAATTCCAATATTTTAGCATTTGGCTCAACAAATATTTTGCTGTACGTTTTTTCTCCCTTGATCACTTTATAATGGAGATCTGTGAATTCACGTGATATAAGCACTTTATCTGAAATGTTTGTATATGCAAATAAATCACAATAATATATTCGGGGGAAGAAAATCAAGTAATATTACAGGTCTTGAAGATTCAGAAATATCCCCTTTTCTTTGAGTGACAGATAGGCTTGAGACAGCATAAATCTTCATGTGCAATATAAGTTGTGAAAACATTGTGTGTAATACAGTATTCAGATGTGGGCTGAGCTGAAATTGCACACATCTCCTTATTTTGGGCATTTGCTTGTCTGTGAATGCTTGGTATTGGCAGTTTGGTTTGAGGAGGAAGTCTCCTGGGCTGCTGCTGCTGGAATGGCATCACTGCTATCCCTGCATTCTCTCATTCCAGCCAGCTGGGTGTTGGAACAGCAGCTCTGTCTGCAAGGGCAAGGCTGGAGCAGAGTGGGGTGCAAACTCTGGGGTTTAGGGTGGCTTTTCCACAAAGACAGGAAAATCACGATTAAAAGCCTGTGCACAGCTCTCTACCTGTCCAGAATCCCCCCAGGGCACTGGAGATGCTCACCTGCCTTGCACTTTTCCTGTTTAGAGCCACTTGAGATGTCTTAGTGCCCTTGGCACCACCTGAGCCTTCATAGGGGAATGGATGGTGGATGCAGATCCTCACCTTGTGCAGGAACACCTGTGAGCCAGGCAGGGCAGCCTGAGAGCTCTGCAGAGGCTCTGGATGACCCTGCTGAGGCAATGGAGCCCTGCCTGGGGGTCCCACCTGGAGCACAGTGCCTGTCTGTGCTCAGCTGACTGAACCCAGCCCTGGACAGGTGCTGGCAGCAGCAGAGCTGGTCTCCTGTGGCTGGGCCACCCTTGGCCAGTGAAGGTGGCTGCAGTGTCCCCTCACTTCCCTGTCTCTGCTCTCCTCTCTTTCCAGCCCACACTGTGTTCCCTCTGCAATTTCGTTGGCCCTCGCAGCTTCCCCAGGCTTCTCTGTAGCAGATTCACAGCTTCAAATCAAGGCACACAGTCATAGAATATTAAGGGTTGGAAGGTACCTCTCAGGTCAGCTCATCCCAACCTCTCCTGCCATGCCCAGGGACATCTCCCACTATCCCAGGCTGCTCCAGGCTTTATCCAACCTTGCTGGTCCATCCCTGGGGCATCCACAACCTCCCTGGACAATCTGTGCCAGGGCCTCACCACCCTCACAGTAAAGAATTTCTGCCTGTCTAACCTAAATTTCCCCCCTTCCAGTTCGTGCCCATCAGTCCTTGTCCTGTCACTCCAGTTCCTGACAGGGTCCTTCCCCAGCTTCCCTGTACCCCCTTCAGACCCTGGAAGGTGCCCTGAGCTCCCCACACAACCTTCTCTTCTCCACACAAATTTCTCAGCCTGTCCTCTCTGTGGAGGTGCTCTCTCCCAGTTCCTAAAGTCCTCTAGGAACTTTGTGACCTCCTCTGGACTTGCTCCAACAGCTCCATGTCCTTCCTACATTGGAAGCACCAGACCTGTTCAGTGTAGTCCCCCATGATCTCTTTCCTTGACCCCCATGTCCTGACTCAGCCCTTCCACATCTCCCTGCTCCCTGTTCTGCTCCAATCCCCCTCCCCTGTGATTCCCATCCCTATGGATGTGCTATCCTCTGCTCTCTACCCCTGTGGGGTGTTCCCAACCCCTCACTAAACCCCTGCACCCTGCAGTCCCCAGACACCCCCTCGAATTTCACTGTCCATGAAACACAGCTCAGCTCTGACAAATACAACCCCGTGTGGCACAGGAGGACCAAGTGACAACCAGGGCTGGAGGAGCAGGGCACAGCCAGACCTCCATCTGCTCGTGGATCCAGTCCAGGAAGGAGGTGGTTCTGCTGTAGACACCTGGCTTGTTCTTCTCTGCACAGCCCACTCCAAAGCTCGTGGTCCCCACCAGCTTCCAGATACTCATCTCTTCACAGGCTAAAGGCCCCCCACTATCTCCCTGAGGGAAAAACAATTAAATGTCAGAGTCCCAGAAAAGGAGGGAAATGTCTCTTGGGGGAGGAAGGAAGAGAGACATAGTCCAGCAATTCAGAATCTACTATGTTGTAAAATTCTACTTCGTTCTGGGTCCTGGGAAAATCACATTACAGCAGGAGACTTTTGAGACATGTATGAGACCATATTTTTCTTTCCCTGGCTGCTATTGAGCGGAGCCCAAGGTTGCAACACCAGGCTCACATCTCACCTCCTTCCCTGCCTGCTCTTCCAACCCTTCCCAGACACTTTGCTATGCAAATTCAACTCAATGGACTCAAATCTAAGTACTGAAAACTCTCCATTTATTTTTTGCTGGGGCATTTTCCTGCCCTACGAGAATCAGAGCCAGCACAACAACTGGAAAAAAGGAAAATTGGAACCAGCCTGTCCCACTGGTGAGCAGGGCTCCTCCTGTCACATGGATCTGCTTTGGGCAGGTCTCTCAGGCAGAGCTGGTGCCAAGTGCTTTTTTTGGGGGGGTTATGTGCAAAAAGGGGATGAAATGCAGATCTAGGCAACCACTGCCTTTGCTTTTTTTTGCCCCTGGTGAGATTGGGATGGAGCGAATCTGGAAACATGAAGTTCACAGAATGATAGAGAGGTTTGGGTTGGAAGGGACACTGAGCTCCGTGTAGATCCAAGCCCCTGCTTGGAACAAGGACATCTTCCATTAGGAATTCCTCCCCAGCCCTATTTGGCAGCTTTTCACCATAAGCTTTCTGCTCCTTGCAGGTCTCTGGAGCTGCTCACAGTGCAGTTCAGTGCAGTTCAGTGCAGTGCAGAAGTGGCAGCCAAGGCAGAGAAAGGATGGCACCGTGCTGCAGCACATGCAGCAAAATATGCCTTAAGCAAATTTGGCTTAAGGAGTACCAGATAAGGTCCAGAGAAGAAGTATAAAAAGGAAATTGTAGCTTGTGAATGCACGTGGTCAGTGATTGATAATCATGGTAAGCAGAATAAATGGCACAAACCCAAATGTTTGCCCAAGAAAAGCCTGGGAGTGCCTTCTGATAACTTATCACTCATGTTTTTCCATTTCCAATGAGCACAATTACAGTTTGGAAACTTCCATACCTGGCAGGTGTCCACCCCTCCCTTTAGGAAACCAGCACAAAGCATTGAAGAAGTTATGATCCCACCATAGACATCCCTGTGATTGCAAATTGCATTGGAAATCAGAGGAACACCTGCATAATTCATGGTGTCCGATGTGTCACCTGTTAAAAAAACAGAAAAAAAAACCAGAAAAAACCTTCTGGTCCTTGGAAATAATCTCCATTTATAAACAGAGAATGCTTTACATACAAAAGAAGGATGAAAGAAACGTGGCCAAATGACAAGAGAAAAGTAAGGCAACTTGATGTCTCATCACTTACAGAATGCAGCAATTCTCCACTCTGTAGAGATGTGGATTATCACAGTGTATCAAATGACAATAGAATCTGGACATTGTGTGTTTCACACTTCAAACTAGACAATTAAGGACGCTAATGAACTAAAAAACTTGCTGAGCATTGTGTTCAATACTAGTGCCAAAAAGTGTTCTGAATTTATCACCTCCTCTGTTAGTCAACAAATCATCTGCAAACATCTGATTTACTTTATAAATATTTATTTTATTTCATTCAGAGCCTGAATGGATCCTTTCTACAAATGGGAATATTTGCACACTGCCTATTGTCAATTTAGGGCTTTTTTTTTTTTTTTTTTTAATGTGGCAAACCTTGCTTTCGTTTTCTCCCCACCTTTGGCTGTTATCTATGGGTCAGGTAATGTTCTGTTCTTGCTCTCTGAACAACAGGAACACGTTCAGTGACATGAATGAAGAGTGATAAAAAACAATTACCTGACAATTCACCCATTTTCACGTGTAGGTGGTTCAGTTTTTATTATTGATTAACATGACCCATGAGTCATGGTAAAAAAAAAAAAAATCCCTTTTCTTTTTGATGGTGTTTTATCCAATTTCTACATCACCCAGCCTACCTTAAAATACACATTTGCTTTCTCTAAAGAAAAGGGATGGTTAATTCTTGCATTCATGCTGTGCTTTCTATGCTTGGAGCTCTAAAGGGCACAGCCTGTTTGACTGAGGCTGAGCACAACACTGGGGACATTTTATATGTGTCATTTTCAACTGTTTCAGAGGATACCCATCCATTCCTTGTGAGAAGAGTTTGCACAGCGCTTCTGCAGTTCAGTTTGTGCATAAAATTTAGTAATATGTCTTCTTTCTACCTCCAGATATTCCAGAAAATTTAGTGTTAAACAATGCCTCAACCAAATCCTGTATTTACTGTATGTAAGATGTGTGCATGTAGTGAAATAATTTAAACAATTTAGACAATTTAAAATAAATACCTCCTTCCACAGTTGCTCCCCATCCTGATACCCAACACATTTTCCCTGCTGGGAAATGTTCACCAAAATTGGGCAGACAGATCGGTTCAATGTGACCTATTTAAAAAAAAAGAGAGAGGGAGAGAGAAGAGAATCAAAATTTAGCAAAAAATTTATATATGTCTCAGATAAACTTGAAGATTTGGCTTGCAGTGAACTTGTGATGAACACCACCCACTCCTCACATAAATAGCCTGGCAGTTTTCTGCAGGTTTTTTGTTTTGTGGGCAACACTGAGGGTTTGAGACAAAACCCACTGCAGCCCCATTTAGTTTTGGATATGAAGCAACACAAGGAGGTGTCAGCAGGTCAATAAATTGAAGAATGAGCAAAGAAGAAATGCAGCTGAAGGGCAGATCAGAGGCCTGGGGGCTGCTGGGGTGAGACAAGGAGCCGGGTGTGCACATCACTGAGAGGACAAAAAGATTTTTGGAGAGTTCTTTGCTTCCCACCCGTCAGCTCACAGAGATTCTGTGTCTCTGTGCTTTGGGACATGGAATTCCATGTGATAAAATCAGTGCTTGATGCTTGCAGGGATAAAGGGGTGCTGAGAAAAGGGAGGGAAAATACAAAAATACAATTGGTTCTGTTCTCCACAGTGCAGCGATCCCAGCTCCAGGCATCGAGCCCCAGCATGGAACACAGTGGGTTGTGCTCAGGTGCAGAGCCACTACTGCTCCTCACAGCTTCCCAAAGCTATTCATGAGCAGAAGAATTCAGCAGTAGCTGAGAGAAAAAACAGAACAAAATCAAGCTTAATTTTCATTAAAAGGGAAGTTTTAAACCATTACAAGAGAATTTATTTGGAAAACAACTGCCTAGATGTGTCAGAGAGTGCCAGCTCCCCTTTGCAGTCAGCTCACAGTGATTAGGAGGTATTGGCAGGTGAGCATTTCAATTCATACAATATTACTACATATTATTTCAACTCATTGTGTCAACTTCAGGTAGCATCTTATAAGAAAATAAAAGTAGTTTTAATTTAAATAGTCATTATATCCAAATTGCCATCTCTTCTCTTTGAAATTCAAGCTTGATTTTCAGCTTTGGACACTTCTGGATCCTCCAGTACTCACAAAAAGGACATGATAAAAATCTCTGTGACCTCCAAGCAGAATGAGGCAGGGTGTTTATTTTAGATAGGAAGAACATTTAGAAAGAATAAAGTTAATGTTTGCCTATTAATAAATGCCGGCAGTAAATCAATACCAGAGTGGACTGGGACATTTTTGCAGCACGTTGTTGCTGTCCATGCCTGGATATGGAGTACAGAGGTGCTCACACTGAGGCTGGGGGGTTTCTGCTGGTGTTGTGTGGACAGGGGCGTTTTAGCTGGGAAGGTGAGAAAGTCAAGTGAAAGCTCACAGAGATAATTCACCATTGAGAGCAAGAGGTGCTGCCAGTTTCATCAGAGCTATGTCATTCCCCATCGTCTTGGGTTTATAATTCCGGTGGTAAATTATTTTTTCCACGGAATGTGGGTGAACCTGGGTGTCCTGCTGAGTCACAAAACCGACCTGAACACTCCATGAGCTCGGCAAGTACAGGCTGGAACAAAGAGGAAGAGGAGATGTCAAACCTCCAGGAAAACACTCAGGTTTTTCTCATTGCCCCCTAAAGCTCTACAGGCAAATAACTCCAGTCTGCTGTACTGGCTTACCTCTCTATTAATAATGGCTATTGTTAGTTATAGCTATTAGTGATATAATATTTTTATATATAAAAATAAATTTGATATGTTTTTATATTATATATTAGTTAAAATTAGTTTTGCATCTAATTTTTAAAAATGTAAAAGAGGTGACTAATCTTAGTAAGACACTGGGTCACTCGTACATCATCAGTGCAATTATACATATCTTACTACAAATATGTGAGAGTTTCTCATCAGCCCAGATGTCTGTGCTCCTGTGAGACCCCACAGCCTGGCACACCTGCACAGAGCTCAGCAGCACTTGTAGCAAGGCATTTCCAAGGAGAAGATTCCCTTCTGGAAGGTGTTTCTGCCCCAGTTCATGAGCTGGCATTATCCTTCAGCCTCCAGAACATGAACTCTCCTTTTGGCCTCACTCCCCTGGGAAAAAGGCTCCAGGGATGTGGGTTGTGTTGCCAGCTCCTATCCCCTTCAAACACACCACAGCCACCTGGGCTGGGGGAGGAAAAAGTCAAGGACAAAGGCTCTAAAATGCTGCATTCCTAAATAATTATTTTTATGGCAACACCGGGCTCTAAACAGGAACTAGGTGTGGGGTTTGTCTGTCCCATTTCTTCTCACTACTGGGTGTAAAAACGTCCTACAAGAACTTACTCAGAAGAAGGCATCCGTGTTGTAGGTTCATAAAAAGTGGTCAGACAAATCCCATTTTAGCTGTCTAAATGCCTTTGGTGAAAGTGGCCTGGGGTTTGTAAGGACAAGGCATGCTCCTGCACTATTAGCATCAAACCAGTCAGCTCATTATAAATATGCTTGTAATTACAGAAAGAAGAAGAGTTCAAATAACTATTTAGCATCTATTTACAGCTCAAAAACCTCTTCAATTGCATAAAAAGGAGTAGTGAGTAAGTGGCAAAGGGCACAAAGCACAGTAATAGTGACTGATAATCACTGACTGATCCTGTCAATTTGAAAAGAATCCTGTAATTTATTTTGGAGCTTCAGTGGATCAGAGAAACCAAATACAAATTTTGTGCATGGAATTTACAGAAATTGCAGGTTGAGATACCTAAAATATAGCACTTAAATCTTATTTTCAGGTGTTTTCCCAGGGAGCTGGGAGTGGCCAGAACATCTGGAAACTGGGGCCCTGGGTTTGGACCACTTCTCGGGGAAGTGTTTTTTCAATAAAGACTCATGCAAAAAGAGAGGAATGGCTTAAATGTTATGATGCCTTTTGGGGACTACCTCGAAACAGAGGCCAGACAAAATTAAAATTAAGGGAATAAAAAGCAGTTCTATTTATTGAAGGGCCTTCAGGTACATTTGGGGCAGATGAAGCCCCCCAGGGGGTACGCCCAAAATGTACAACACATCATGGGTTTTCATTTTTATATGTTTGGTCCATTTGCACATTAGGGGTTAATTTTCCAATTATAGCTTCAGGTAGTGATGTTATTTACCCCAAAATTGCTACCCAAAAATTCACTTTTGTTTAGATTTCTTGGGGCTCAAGACAGTGAGGTGTCCTTGATTGCCAGCCTGGAGAGGAATTGTGTTGTCTGACCAAAATGGGAAAGCAGCAGCCAACATTGTAGGGAGTTCAGAGTTATACACTGAAGAATTGCAGGATTACAAATACATTAAAAACATAAAAGTTAAAACCCTAAGGCATCACTCTTTCACTCTTGCTAAAGAAAAGCCAGCTCCTGTACTCCAGGAACTTTTGAAATACAACCTGCAGGTTGCTACATGGTGCTGTTAAAACTCATTTATTACTAATGACTTGGAGGAGGAGTCAGCCTTGCTGTGTGTGCTGATTCCTTCCCAGCTCCCTCTGCACCGTTTCAGTCTCACTCCAGGGTGAGATCCTGCTTGGTGCCTCAGACCCTGAGCAGGAAATTAGGGAGACCCTTGGAAAACACATCCAGTGCTTGCTATTCCCAAGGGGATGCCTCAACTTCCCACAGGCTGATCCCTATTCCAGGTGTGGAGACACATCAACATGTTTGATCCCTGGACCTGGGCAGGTCACACTTCCCAGCCACAATTAAATTCGTGAGGCAATGCATCCTGCAGGTTGTTTTTAAGAGCCAGCAGAGCATCCCCCGAGCAGGGGGGTTTGGGCACTCACTCGTAGACACAGTGGGCAGCTGTGAGGATCCAGAGGGGGGTGATGACCGAGCCCCCACACAGGTGGTGGCCCTGGAACTGCAGGCTCACCTGCCAGGGCCACTGCCGGGGTGATGAGGCGTTGCCCCCCACAATCCGTGGCCCGTAGCTGGCCCGAGTCCCACAGGCTGCCAGGAAGCAAAGGTTATGGTCCAGAGAGGAAAAACAGCCCTGGTTTGGGTCACTTCCAGCCTCTCTTCTCCCAGCCCTGCTGAGGGTGGGAGGTGTCTGCAGCTGGAGCATCTCCACCTCATCCCCATGGCCACATCCCAGAGGTTTCTCCTCCTCCCTCCCATCCCTGCAGGTCTGGGGGCTGTGGGGTCCATGTCTGTCCCTTCCCCATAAATCCCCCCCTGCTCTGCCCTCCTTCATCCTCGGGGTCCCACACAGCCTGGCTCAAGCACTTCCTCTCCCCTCGTGGTGATTTTGCTGCTGTATTTTGATTTTTTTTTAATCCCAGTCTGAAAACTAGGTGGCATGGAGAGGCGTGAGATGAAAATTCAATTACAGCAGAATTTCCCTTTTCCTGCCAAGATGCCAAAAACTTGGAATTACAGTGTGAATCTATGGACTCTACAGCGTGAGTCCATGGACTCTACATACAGACCTAAAATATAGACTTTCTGCTGGGATTCTCACTGAAATGCTCCTGCTATCTGATGCTCCCAATCTGCCCTCCCAACCTATTTTCACTTTCTGAAATTCTTTCAAATGTTATATAAAAAATACGTTTTTTCTTTGGTGTGATAAACTGATAGTATAATATGCCCTAAATACACAGTTGCTCCCAACTCTTGCCATGCAGTGGATAAAGGACAGTTTCTGCCTTTATTTTCACTTTTTCTGATTCTTACCCAAACACTTCAAGATGATCACATTGCCAGAAGTGCATTCCTCCCTGAGATGAGAAGACAGTGCAGCATTAGTCCCAATTCACAAATACTTTGTGTTTCTCCAATATTATATAATTTTCCTGTGCACATAGATATAAGGAACTTATATATTGAAAGAGGTACAAGGGCACGAACTCATCCAATCTAGTCAGGGCCCTTAACTGAAATCCTGAATTTGGGAGCTTGGCCATCAGGAGGCTGCCCTGCTGAAGAGGGATTCACTCTTCCACAAGCAGGAGCTCATCAGCAGGTCTGAAGTCTCCTTGGACCCATTGCTCCCTTCTCACTGAAAGGTAACTAAGAAATTCATCAGGAGGAATAAATGGACCATAAAGGGTTCATAAACCCGCTGGGAAATGTGTAAGGATCTGCAAACTGGAATAAACTGCTTCATTACAGAAAAATAGAAGTGCCTGGTGCCTACCCATTTGCAAAAATGGCATCATGGGACAAACAGCCATTTCAAACAGCTCATTTGAAAGCCTTTGCTGATTTTAATGGGTCTTGGATCAGACTCTTAGTTCATATTCCAGCAAGACTGGTGCTGAGCCTCAGTCTAGTGTACGTAACACCACCAAGCACCTACAAAGTATTACATGCCTGAAAAAACAGCAACAATCCCAAACTATCACTCATTCCCCTTCTACTGATTGCTCTCTTTCTGAAGGCATACCTGAGGTTGGTGGCATTGTGCAGGGATGTCACTTGATCAGCTGAGAACCAGTGGCTGAGGGACACGAAATGTCTTTGGAACTGTTTTTCAACTGCAGCCACAGGCAGGTAACCTGAACTCACAAAACTGCAAATAAACCATAAACACAGCTTCCCCAGACAGCACTGCAGCTATCTGCTTAAATAATTCACCAGTTCTGCTAATGAAAACCACAATAATCAGATTCTGGCATTCGATAAAAGCAATTCTATCCTCCCCCTATGCTCCTTACCACATGCATGCATTTTTGACATAATCATGTGTGGAAGCCCCATATGCTGAGATGCATTTAATTGGCAGAGAAAGTAAATTTTAATTGTAGTATTACAATGAAGCTTTTAATTGTAAGTGGTTGGCACATTTCCTGAGGCACTAAGAAGCTTATTGTCTCCTTTTTCTAGAATTATGTTTGGCAGCAGGGAGGATGAATAATTCTTAATTTTTTCTTCTCTGGTGAAAAGTTGAGATATATTTTATCCTAGAGGCAACGAGAATTTATTTAAAGAAGTTTTATACTGCAAACTATAACAGAAATCAGAATGACGCCATGGTAAGAAATAATAGATCATCATGCCAAGTAGCAACTTAATCTTTCTCAATTTTGTGAAAGTTTTTGAAAGAAACACTTCTTCAGGAATGGGATCAATCCAGCAAGAGCTGCCTTGCCATGTTCTTCTCTGATTATGAGGTGGACCTTAAATCCTATCAGATGTCATGACATGAATTGTGCATACAATTTACCTACAGGGGAAGTAAAAGAAGTGGAAAATGCTCATGTGTTTTTTAGTGCCTCTCTGACAGGCTACTAGAGTGACAAATAGGATTTGGACACCCGCATCACACAGGGAAGATTTAGCCAGGCCTTTATATTTAGGCGTCATGCAGGATTTATAGCAGTAATAAAAAGTATTTGCCATGTATGGAGCTATTTCCCACATTATCTCAAATCTCCTCAATCATATCACTCACAAAGGTGGATTGGTACGTCATTTTTAAGGCACAAACTAACACAAGGTTTCATTAGAAAGACTGAAAGCCTCAGAGTTTGTTCAGAATGCCAAATGAAGTTGGTACCCATACCTTGAGAAGCCCAGGTGTTTGCAGGTTGTGTTCCCATACTCTGCCCTCCAGTCATCAGAGCAGACAGTTCTCCAGGACCCAAAGGTGAACACTTGCAGCACTGCCTTCTTCCCACTCAGCCTGACTTTGAGATTGAGGACAAGAAAAGCCTCAGTGAGCTGTGAAGATCAACATCAGGCACACAACAGCACCACTGTGCTGTCTGTGTTTTCTGGCTCACCAACTCCTTACTACTTGTCTTTTTCATTTGGATTCTTTGACAAAATTTTTCCCCTCCCATTAAAGAAGGGAGCTAAGGTACTCTGAGCTAGGACAGCTGGAGGAAAAAAAAAAAAAAAAATCTTTGCTCATGTGAATGTCAGCTCTAATACAGGTGGTGGAGGCTGCCTGGCCCTCCAGTGAGCTGTAAGCAAATCTTGCTGATTGCAGTGAGCTGGAGCTGCAGATGCTTTGCCCTGAGGAAACCCGTGGCCAAGGTGAGGGATGGAAAGTGGTGGGCACCTCCTGTGTCAGACAGGTGCATCACTTGTGCCCAGCTGTCCTGGACCTTGGAAAGGTCACATCTGTGTGGTGTTCCCAAGCAGAAGGGAGATTATGCACGTGGTCACTGCTGAACAGGGCTTTCCCACACGTGCCACAATTCCAGCGTTATGGAATTGCAGAGGAAGACAGGAAAAGCTGAGATATTGCCACTGGCTCCACAGAGGCCTCACCCTCCCTGGGGAAAACTCTCCAAGAGCTGAACACATTGTGCTGGGGCCAAAAGCTCGTGGTTCTTGTCATTCCTCCTTTGCACAGATGGAAAGCTGTGCTGCCTCCTTATCTATAGGCACAGGAGCCAGGATTACAAGTGCACTGAGCTAAAACCCAGTTATTCTGTTTAATATTGGAGTCCTTTCCCTCCAGTGGCTGTGAACACCACAGTCACCTTCCATAGCACAGGACAGGGATGTACCATTTAAAACACCCTTGTGATTACCAAAACCACCACAGAGAGAAATCCAGAAAGAAGTTCTACATTTCACATGTGAAGCAGCAAACTCTGCAGGACTGAGTGCACAAAAGGCTGATTTCTCCCATTCCCACATCCTATAAGATAGTACCAGGCTTTTGCAATCTTCAAAACTGACACAGCACAACAATGTGCCAGTGAATACAGAGCTCTGTATTTACCATGAGGCAGTGGTGTTATACCTTGCAGGCAGAGGAAATGTGAGCAGTCAAAAAGCATCTGGGCTTCTAATGGAGAAAATTATCAAAACTGGCAGTAACAATATTCAGCAATCATTACATTTATCTAAAAAGAAGTTTGATTTTTCATAAACTGTAACTCAGTACCTCAGAGAGATTGTTCCTCTGAAGTGATGGTTTAGATATTCCATTGGTCTTGGTCTTTCTTGTCTCACCCAAACTCTTTACAACAAGCATTCCTCAATAACTTGCCAATTCTACAGGAGGAGGTAGGAGGGATTTATAATCAAAATTAAATTACCACATCTGTACTCATCCTCCCCTTCTTTACAGTTGAAGACACCATTGCACCTGGCTGATTTCTGGATACACTTAAAGGATGATCGACAGCGAAACTTCCCAATGCAGTTGTACTGGACTAAAAGGAATGAAAGAACACAGGGCAATGAAAAAAAACACACTTGGATTTTAATTTACCACTTCAGCATTCCATCATCTGTCCAGATTTCAGTCTTGCTAAAGAAAAGCCAGCTCCTGTACTCCAGGAACTTTTGAAATACAACCTGCAGGTTGCTACATGGTGCTGCTAAAACTCATTTATTACTAATGACTTGGAGGAGGAGTCAGCCTTGCTGTGTGTGCTGATTCCTTCCCAGCTCCCTCTGCACCGTTTCAGTCTCACTCCAGGGTGAGATCCTGCTTGGTGCCTCAGACCCTGAGCAGGAAATTAGGGAGACCCTTGGAAAACACATCCAGTGCTTGCTATTCCCAAGGGGATGCCTCAAATTCCCACAAGCTGATCCCTATTCCAGGTGTGGAGAAACATCAACATGTTTGATCCCAGGACCCGGGCAGGTCACACTTCCCAGCCACAATTAAACTCACTCTGCATTTTCTTTTCCTTTGTAGAAGTTGATTTTGATAGGGGAAAATTCTTTAATTCTTTGAAAGCAAACTTAGAGAATTACAAGACAAAAATACGGTGTGGGCTACCCACAAGGGTTTTTTTTACCCTCAGTTTCTAAACTCAGCTCATTGCTTGAGGGGAGCTGACAAAATTTTACTAGAGAAAGGTGTCCTGAAGCTGCAGGTTCCCCAGTGTTGTATTACACCAATCCTCTCAGGAGTGCCAGACCTATTTTATCCCTAGGTTTAAATAAAATTTAAAGTCATCACATCACCAAGATTTTTTACTTCCACAAACAGGCCACAGTAGCAGTTTAATTCCATTCTCAGTAAAAGGCTCATGAAAAATTAAGCATTTAAATGGTTAAGTGAGAACTTTATAAATAGCTAATGGTACTCACCACCCAGGCCAATGGCAACTGCTAGGATTACTGCAAGGAATAAACCACAGACATATGGGAAGTATTTTAGAGAGACAAGAGCATGGCACATTGAAGGTGGTTCGATATCTCCTGGAAAACAAACAGAGAAAAAACTTCTGTGAGGTTAAATCAGCTGAGCTGGCAATCAAAAAGATTTATCTATCATTAAACTAGATGTCATCAATAACCCCTGGATATACTTTATGAGCTGACCTCACCTGAAGGGATTTGGATTTGCTCTCTCAGGGAATGAGAAGGCTCCAAATGCTTTGGGACTGCTGCTGCTCTCAGACATCCCTTGAGCATTTGCCTTAGGAGGGTTTGAATTGTGCCTCTGCAGAGCACCTGGCCTGTCCTCAGTGCAATCATCAATGTGAGCTCCAAATTTTCATTTTCATGGGCTATACCACACTGGGAGCTTTTCATGCTTATGAGCACCTCTGCTGAAAACTTGAGTCCTGGGGTAAAAATGAAATCCAGACCTGTTCTGTCTGTGTAACCCAACCTGTGTGCAGCTCATAAATACAAGTTCAAGACAAGAAGGAGGAAAGTCACTGGAAGCAAGATTAACTGAAAAATATTGAAAGCTAGATTTTCAAAAAAAGCAGAATCCTCTAACTAGTCTCAAAAACTGTGAAAAAGTGATCTTTTCAAAGTTTTGCTATAAAGGCAAGAAGAGAACTAAGTGATGGCTTGAGGCTGAGTCTTGAGTTTTCAAATACAAAAAGATGCATCTAAAGTTAAAATAAACATTAGTAGTTATTGCAGAATACATTTCATGAGCTGGACCTGTTTACCAACCACTGACCTCCAGAGCTGACCTCTACTTAGTGGTATTGCCAGTCTGGAAGACAACAAGAGATTCTGCTGAAAATAGTGAGCAACCCACTCGTCTCAAATGTATTCTGATATACAAAGGGCAAACTGTGGGGAAATAGCAAACACAGCTGGGTCACAAGTGCACACAGGAACTGGTAGAACCTCGTTTTCAATTTTACTTAATACAGATCTTCACTGCCTCATTCTTCAGGCTTTATCATTGAGATTGGCAGATACTCCTTATCCTTGACTGATTGTGTCTCCAAGGATTTATAGACTCTTCAGTAAATCCCAGCTTCCTCAGACTCTCAGCAGCAGCTGAAAAACTGGTTTTGGCAATGGAGTTGGTGTCTGGCATGCCAAAAACCTTAGACATCTGTAGCAGCTAATGGACTAGAAAATTAAATTGCTCTATTTTCACTCTGGAAGCTCAGCCTGCCTCTGTTGGAGCCCATGGCTATTTTGAAACCTATGGGAAGCAGCAAACAGACATGCTAATCCTCTAAGGCTGCTGCATTGAATATTCAGGTTTTTTAATGGACCAATCTCCAGGTTGGCAAAATTTCAAACAAACCATTCAAAAATGTATCTGAAAAGTGTGGGGAAACATTTGCTTCTGTGTAAATAATCTGGCTGTGAAAAATGCTTGAGTGTGCAAGCGGACACAAGATGTCATCACATCACTGAGCTGCCAAACCTCACACCTGGGGGAGGAAGGTCATGTTTCTTCCTCCTTGGTGAGACTGATTGTTCTAGGTGGGCAAGCCCAGTTTGGCACACAGTTGCCATTGGGATTGCAAAGGTCAAAGGGCTGTGGATTGTCCCTACCAGATCCATCTGCACTCGGGTCCACTCTTGCTTGTGGTATGAAGAAAAATCTTTTGAAGGTAAACTGAATTTGTGGTACTGGTGGTTCATCTTCTGTAACGGAGATGATTTCAAGACTCCCAGTAGTGGGATTTGTCTCTTGAACCTGACTCAATAGGAGAGGAAAAAAAAAAAGGAAGAAAATAATCATTATAATGTTGTCATAGAGCCACATAATGGTTTGGGTTGGAAGGGACCTTAAAGATCATCCAGTGCCACCCCTGCCATGGCAGGGACACCTCCCACTGTCCCAGGCTGCTCCAGCCCCAATGTCCAACCTGGCCTTGGGCACTGCCAGGGATCCAGGGGCAGCCACAGCTGCTCTGGGCACCCTGTGCCAGGGCCTCACCACACTCACAGTGAAGAATTTCTTCCTAACATCTCATCTAAACCTTCTTGTTTACCCTTTGGGCACTGGAAGGTCACAACAAGGTCTCTCTGGAGAGAGAAGAGGTCTTCTCCAGGATGAATAACACCAACTCTCTCAGCCTTTCCTCATAGCAGAGGTGCTCCAGCCCTCTGAGCATCTTCCTGGCTCCTCTCACTCACTCCAGCAAGGTCCACATCCTTCCTGTGCTGAGAACCTCAGAGCTGGACATAACACATTGTTGCATACTTAATTTTCATATGAGAAGCACTTACAGCTAATTTACCAGCAAACTAGTGAGGTTAATATTTGTTCAGATTGGTCTAAGCACCAGAGCTACTCTTAATAAGTCACACTGGGGGTGTGAACCCATCCCCTGCTCTACAATTGCAATAGGAAACAAGAGAAAGACTGAAATGTGTAGGACAGCTGCACGGCACCTGACAGGATCCTCGGTCAGGGGAATTTTACTCCAGTAAGCTTGTGATGGCTTACTACACAGGGAAAAAATTAAAGTTAGCTACACTAGAATTTGGGGCAAATAGATTTGAAATGCTAATTTCTGACTCTGGCTCTGCACAGTGGCAAAAGGAATCAGATTTTTGGACTCAGAGTGGTATGAAATAAGTCCAGGTTTGTTAAAAACAGTGGAGCTGGTAGCTGTAAAAGCAGCATGTTTGCAGAGTCAGTCCCAGAAAATGCTTACAGTGACACATTTTAGGCAAAGAACACATGCTTTATCTATGACATTATATCTATAATGGAATATAACCTGGAGCACTTTTTCACCTTTCAGCGATAAAGTTAAAGCTCTTTCATTTGGTAAAACTTCACCTACATTTCAATGAACATAAATCAAACTTAATAGAGAATCTGCCAGCATGATTGTTAAATACTAAAACCAAAAAACAAACCTTCTATCTAGTGCATAATTTGCCCATCAGGAAACAAAACAGCATTGTGAACTAAATTACACGCAAGCCAAACACTGACATTTTGCTTATTCAGAGGCTATCACATGCTCCCAAAGCTTCACTCACCTCTTCCTGAGAAGTCATAGTTAAAAGCAAAACTGTTTTCCTTCTTCATTATCAAAAGCAGCCCCAAGGAAGCTCGGAGTTTGCTGAGCCCCTCTGCTCAGGGAGGGTTTCCAGCTGACCGTGGCATTGCAGGCACAGCCCGTGTAACCCAACCTGGAGAGGGGTATCAGGTGTGCCTGGATGGCATGGCTACGGAAAGGGGGAGATAAAAATTCAGCACGCTGTTTAATTAGCCTAAGAACACCAGGCAACGTGGTGGGATTTGCAAAACTCCCTGTAACCCCTTAGCAAAGGAGCCGCAGGAATGCCACATAAGTGCTGGTGTAGTAGTTATGTTGAGACAGGCTGGACTGGCATCATCACCAATCCTTTATTAAAAACTTTTCATGTCTTCTTTCAGTGTACTTCTTTACATCAACTCTGACTCCTTCCCTCATAGGCAGCTCCACACAGCCCTGACTCCTTCTCTCCTCCCTGCATAACTGTATAACTCAACCCCAACCTGTCCCTTTCCCAGCTGCCTTACCCTGACTGTCCCTCACACATCTTCTTCCCTTATCTGTCCCTTGCATACAGCATGTCCCTGACCTCCTCACAGCACAGCCAGCAAGCTCCATCCCAAACTGCAGCACACTCTCCATCTCAAGCTCTAACTCCAAGCACAAGTACAACTTACCCTTAACTGTCCCACTCTTTTACCCCCATCCTCACTGGGCAGGCACAGATGTTTCCACTCCTCAGTAATCAGCACAGCTGTAATTCATGAGGTGAGATTGCCTTCTGTACTGTCCTCTCAACCTGTCTTCTCACAGGCTTGCTCATCCTCTGTCAAAACCCTCAACACCAAGAGCTGTGGGTGGCAGAGAGCAGCAGCCCCAGGGCTTCATCTCTTCAGCACACACAGCTCAGGACTCACCTTGCTCCTCCTTGGCTTGGTTTAGCCTTTGCCGTGTGCCTGCACAGGGTTTTTGAAAATGCAGTGTCTCATGTTGCTGAAGGACCAACTCAATTGTATTCTGGGATTTTAAAAATGAAAACCTACGTTCATCTGCAAGGAATGCTCAAGAATAGTAAGAATTTGGCTGGGTTGTTTTCACTTAGAAAGAGATTCCTGACAGAGGGAAAGGTGGAAGGAAGAAGGAGAAGGAAGGATGACACAAAAAGCCACAGGAATATAAGTGAAACAAGGCTCCTGAGAGACTAGGGAGGGAATGGAAGTTTTCCAGGATAAAACCCACATCCCTGGAACATGGCTGAGATGAGAAAAGCTCTTCAGTCCCACTTCTGTGCATGATGGAGACTGGCACTTCCAAAGGAGAGGACACCACATCATGATCCTGTTAACTTAAGCCACAACATCAAGAATCCTTCATCATTTCCTGTGCCACTCTTTTCAGCAGCCTTCCCTGGAAATGGGGACACTTTCCCCACCAGGCTTCAGACAGTTCTGATGATTCTCTAAATGGCTGGAGAACCATCTCAAGGTGGCCAGGAATCCCAAGGGGAACTTCAGCCAATGTAGGGAAAAGATGAGGGTTCATTTCAGGTGATCAGCAGCTCAGGTGATCCTTTCAGTCCACAGGGTGAGGTGTCCTGTCCTCCAGAGGGAACACTGATACCTGCAATGAGGACAGAAAAATCTGTCTCCAACCACTTCACCCACCCTGGCCGTGCTGGAAAGGCTGGGGACCAGCCAGGGCAGCTCTGCAAAGGCTCCCACAGTGGGACTGGCACCACTGGAAAGGACAAATTCTCCTCCCTGCTTCCACCCTGAGCTGCTCCAAGCTCAGCCTCAGGGTGTGATTCTAGATGGGACATTGGGTTTCATCTTCTACAGTTTGGCTGCTCATTGCCTTTGGTTGAGAAGACCAAAGCAGGAGCCACATATGATATGGGCAGGAGGACTTGAAAACTGAGCCCAAAAGGAAAGGTCTGACCTGCAGACTGACTTCCTGCACGTTGCAGGGCAGCCCCACTTGTTCCCCCCGGTGCAATTGCAGCTCTGTAATGGGGTGGTGTTTGCACCACTTAATTAGTGTCTTGTCTAAAGTTTTTTGTGTCTTCACTCAGAGCCAGGATTAAAAACATGAAGGAAATGGATTTTCTCGTGTTCAAGCTTGGTTGTTTATTAAATCTTATCTAAAGTACAGAAAGTTCTGCAACACTTCTAGCTACCAGCTAGAAGCAAGCAAAATGGAGATGAATCCAGCTGCTGCAAGGTCTCTTAAAGCTAAACAGTCCAATAGAGCATTAACACCTATATTATTTATAATTTTAACCCAACAAATAAGTTCCCATGACCCTCAGTGCAGCACCGACTGTCCAACCAAAACTACTACCTGAAATCACGAAGAAAAAGAAGAACACCGAAAAGGAAACAACACCCCAAATCCTCCATCTTGTCCTATACCTATTACTATATTATAAAAACCTCAAATTCAAAACCCATCATCATGTGAAATCACACACTTCTATTTAACTACACACCAGTGATTTTAACTCCATCACTCAAATTTGGAAGCCTTCTCCAAGGCCTCAAGTCAAAAGCATTGTTCTCCAGGGGGGCAGTACCAGAAAGCACAGAAAGCTCAAAAACCCCAGGCTTCTGGGATCTAACACAGCTCAGGTGGATTTCCTGGCTTTCAGGAGACAATTTAAAGTGAAAAGCTAAAAGATTCCACCTGAGCCCCTTCAGCAAGCCCACTCTGACTGTGGTGGAAACCTTTGGGCTCCTCATCTTGTTCTGCCAGGGCTGAGAGGAAAAGTTTTGCTTTTTCAGCCGCCCTACGACAAAAATTCAGAGGCGCAGATTCTGTGAAAACAGGATGTCAGCTTTTGTCAGAAAAGATCACAAGGGGTGTGAGGTTTTGGTTTGGTTTTTTTTTTTTTATTTTATTTTATCCACCTCTTTCTCTCTCTCTCTGTTTCATTTTCTGGCTCCCTCCCTCCTTCACAGGCTCCTGCTGGTTTGTGCCAGCACAGAGAGGGGGCACACGCAGGGATGGCAGTGGCAGAGGCACAGCTGTATGCAAAGGTGTCCAACAAGCAGCGGGGCAGGAGCACCTCTGGCCTCCTCGAGCCTCTCCTGGCCAAAGGATTCCCGGCTCATATCGCGTGAGTAGCGTGCTCAGCCGCCTTTGCACTGGGAGATTTTATTTAGGAGATTTTATTTAGGATATCGGGTGTCTGCCATAAAATCCCCGTACAGGCAGGTTCTCTTGGTCAGGAGATTGTGCTGCTCCCGGGGGTGATGTCCCCACGCAGGGAGCAGACCTGTCTTGCACTGAATTTCATATAGAGCAGTGTGTATTGCCCACATAGCAAAAGCAACCTGCTCAATATCCAGGATTTTAAAATACTGTGTAAATCAAAAGATGCACACCCTTCCACATCCTGAGTTTTGAGAGGCTCTCAATGAGTTGAGAAGTTGACCATAGTTTGCTCTTGGGATACAACCTCTTTCAATTTTTTCTGCTTATTACTCTAATTATAAGGGAATTAAACATGGATGTAATTTCTAACCAAAGTTTTTTCAGGCCTGGCAAAAATCTCCTGCTGGATAGTGTCACTGGAAACTGTTTTTTTTTTCCTTAAGATGCCACTTAAGTCTGTCAATTTTTCTTCCTGTCTTGAATCAGTCTTGTTCCAAAAATCATGTCCTGCCTAGAAAACATCATAGGAAAGAATGAGGCACTATTCTTGGCAACTCCAATGGATAAGAAAGTAACTGATGGCAGGTAAACAAGTTAATGCAAAAGAAAAGTGCCAGTCACTCCTCCTCCAAACATCTCTCCTGTTGGACAGGCAAGTTTTGGGGAGGATTTTCCAATTTCTGGATGGCAAGTAGGGACATTTTGGTTCAAACTGTTAAAAAAATTTTTATTATTTAAATATCAAATAACCCCTCACAAAAATATTTTAGAAAGAAGAGCAACATCTCTCCACCTTTTGATTGAAAATTAAGTGAGTGGAAGAGGTTCCATTTTTAGGTGCTGTGTTGTGTTTTGGGAACAGCTGTGGCAGCAATCAGACACGATGGGCACAGCTCACAAAGACACTGAGTCTTTTTTTCTCAGTGATGTACAGTGAGATTTTAGCTGTGGGCTGAAAACATGGCTCATCATTTCTCTATTAATACTCTACCTTTGGTCAGCCCGAAGTAATGGCTACTTTCTGAATTTTTTTTCTGCTTTATGTGATGATTTTCAAATCCCCTTCAAAATAGTTTCTGCTGTTACTGAGACGACTTTGTGTTTCCAGTTCAAAATCAAGAAGCAGCAGCAGAAATACTGCACAAATTGATGTAAGATAACAAAATATCAAAAAGCAATTTAAAAAAATATTTCCTATTATTGACCTTAGGACCAAAATTTTAATTGTGTTTCTAAAAAGCCTTTTAGCTGTCTCTGTTGTCCCTCAATTAAACCATGAATGAAAGTAGTGAAAAGTTTCTTTTCAGATGTCCTGGTCTGAGAAATATGAGGTGGGGTGGAAGTATTACAAAATTTTTCATCATGTAGAACCAACAGGCCAAAAGCAGCATTTCCCCAATGAATGAAACTCAAATATGTGAGGGTCAATTCTAGCCTAAGATCAAAAAGTTTCCACAAGAAACTGTGCCAGCAGTTTCTGTTTTAGGGAAGAGCTTGCTTATTCTCAATGTAGATTTATTTTTAATCTACTTTCATTACAGACTCTCAGTGGTTTATTCTTCTATCTGAGAGAAATTGGTACATGCAGAACTTGCTCTTTGCATTATTTTTCAATTTTCACTTCTCATCTTGGAAGTGCAGGATTAGTCACAGCCTAATGCACCCCTAGTGCTAAGGGCTCCATAAACCTTGCTGGAAATCATCCTACAGCCAACACATGATGAGATAAAAGGTGGGGACAGGTGTGGAGAGGAGCACAAGAGAAGAAGGAGATGGGACTGAGCAGGATGGCAGCTCATGGCCTCAACTTTCACTTGTCTTCTTACATTTAATTTTGAAGGCCCCATGGTAGAGAAAAGCTGAAGCCAGGCTCTGTTTTAGCTTCAGAGCTGTTTGCACAGAGCTTGTCCCCAGGAGGGAGGAGCAGAGTGGCAAGGAGTGGTAAAACACTCCCTTGGAGGTGCAATGATGGTGATGAACCCTGGCATCACTGCCACCTCCACAGGGCACAGCAGGAAAAGCTGTGAGGAGAGGGACAGAAACACGGTTATTTGTGTTTGGTGTGATGGAGAAGGAGGGCTTGAGCAGAGGCACAGAAAGGAAATGTGCAGTATTCAGTCACAGAGGACATGGGCTGGCTTTAGACCTCGTGGTTGTGCATTGATCTGCCCACAGGAGTTGATTTACTTTATGGAGAAGAGACATAGAAGGTAAAGTTTGAGTGGAAAGATGTTAAGTCTGCAAATCAGAGATCTCTCTGAAGAATTCAGAGAGAAATTAGAGTGCAGGGATTGAATTAAAACCTTTGAATGGATTGATGTATATTAAGTTACTCATACATAAAGTAGAGGTGTAAGTTGAAATTTTAGAATAAGAAAGCAAATAAGTAAGTAAGAATATGTTTTAAATGCTTTAAAGAATAAAGGTCTCAGATACCAGTGTAAAAGTGCAAGTTCTAGTGAAAGTTGAAAAACGTAGTCCGAGATACTGGTGTTGAAAACAAGTTTCTGTGTAGGCTCCGAGAACGTAGTTTTAGACATAATAGAACTGTGGTAAGAATATTGCTTACATTTTTTAGATAGGACAAGGCAGACCATATGAGTAGTTTATACGTAACCTGGCGTGCTAAGAAATCAGAATTCTGATGGGTTCAGAAGAAATGGTTCAGGTTTGTGTTTTTAGATTATTGGGTAATTTGTGTATAAGAATCTGCATTGGGGAGAGAGCTCTTGTCTCTCACTTTTCTCCTCTCCTCACCCCCACCATCATCACCTGAAGAAGAGAGGAGCTGCAGCAGCAACATCAACCCTCCCGGGGCTTCAACAGGAGCAGCTTCTACTGATTGGGACTTTACTTCAATTTGGGACTCTATGCTGAAAACTTTTAGCATGGATTGAACGTTTGTGACTCTTTACCTTTCCAGACTGATGTGCCTTTACAATAAACAACTTTATAGCAACTACCAGGTGCTTGGCTCTTTTAAAGGAAACAACCACAACCTAACAGAAAGGCTCGTGTCTGTCCTCATCCCTGCTGAGCCCCACTAAAGAGCCAGCAATGTTTGCATATAAATGTTATTAACAAGCCCCAGTGTAGTTTTTACACTGAAGAGAAGAGAGAGGACTGGGAGGGAACATAAGTATGAGTCTGAGTCTGCAACTCAATGCTAATGTGTGTTCAGGTGTCACAGGGATGGATGAAGAACAAAAATGAGAAGAGGCAACACAACTCAAAGCCCTCGGGAGCCAGTGGCCAGAAAGGGTGGCCTCAAAAGAGAAGGAAAGACATCAGCAGATGCCAAGAAATTCAGTAGTTTTGGTTTTTTTTCCAGTGCCCTCTGTCTCTACTTCCCCTTCATGTTTCTTCTGAGAAGTTTGTAGGTGCATTTCAGGGGTGGAAATGGGGCTCATGAGTGCAGCTGCTGCTTGAACACTGGAATCCTTCACCCATCACCCAGTATTTAGGCACAAAGATTTGCTCATGTGAAACACATAGCTGGCTTTTGGAAAGCTCTAGTGGGAAAAGGAAATGTGAATCAAATCCTACTCCAGAGAATGGAAGTTGAATTAACAGAGATAAATGAGAGGATTTGTCCTTCATCTTGGACTGAGCTGCTGGCTCAGATCTGCTCTCTGCTGGCTGTGGGGGATCCTCAATCCAGATTTCAAACCCCAATATAAGCATGTTTTGCTTAGTTTTAATGTATGGGCGTGGCCCTGTCATCTTGAATCAGAACCTTTTTTAATGAACCAAGAAAACCCAGTTCATAAAGTGCTTGGATGGTTTATCTAACCCCAAGGAAATTCATATAGTCAGTAAGGCTGCCAAGGAAACACCTCCAGAACAGAAAGGAAGGCATCCCCGTCCTATGGGGAGGACAGGTTACCAATCTTCAAGGAATTAAAGACTTGCAGTGAGAAAAAAGCTATCTGGAAGGCTTCAAGAACAATAACATTTGCTAGGAAAAACCTTCTTGCTAAAGGTCCTGCCTGTGCTGGAAAATAGACGTGACAACCATAGTCACTAAATGCCTTTACTTGATAAAAGTTTTCTTTTTGGTATTCTGAGGAACCAATTTTGTGCTTTTTCTAGGCAAAAAGCCTTGGTTGCTACTGGACAAAAGACAACAGAAGATGCAGCAAAATGGTAAGTACCTGTGATTTCTAAGGTGTGCCTTCACATTAAACCTGGCTCAAAATCCTTGTTGATGTGCTCAGCCTGTCACTGAATTTGAAGTTAGCTGCCATTAAAAAACAAACAAACAAACAAACAAAAACACCTGAATTTGAGATTTTTTTTTCCATTTATTTCACTCAGAGAGAGAAATATTTGTATTTGCACTTATTCTGGGACACAAGGTGACTTGTAGAAGGTCCAGGTAAATTAAAAACAAGCAGCTACTTTTACCAATGAGTCAGTTCACAGGACCAGCTGGTCTAGTCAGAAAATCCTCCTCAGCTTTAAGCCTTCTGAGAGAAAGGAACAAGGAAATAGGGAAAATTTTTGTAAACCCATGACTGCACTTACAAACACGTGCAGAAACAACAGCTGAAGGGGGATAGAAAGGCCTAGAACAGAGTAAGGTGAAAGGCTGATGGTCAGAGAGAGATATTTTTACAATTACAATAATTTCTCAGTTTTGAACGCCACAAAGTTTTGTCCTCTCTATCAAGACTACAGAGTATTTATACGTCATTCATGTGCTGATAACTGACTTTTTTGTTGTTGTTGCTTTAATTCACCTTCACATTAAATACAGTCTTTCCTTGCACTTTCTTTTGGATTTTGTTTTGCTTTTTCATTCTTTTTTTTCCCTTGGTTCAGTAGCTTTTTTCTATTTTCTTCTATTTTCTTTTCTTTTGTGAGAAGCCAGAGTAGGCATTTGAGCATGGCATGTTCTTTCCAAATAACCTTTTTCAGGGATGCTGCCATACTTTCCAACAACCATTCCCAATGCAACATACAGCATGTGAAAGACACGGTGAATGATATCATCACATGGCATATGAGTTTCTGATCTTTCCTTGTGCATTTCTCATTTGTCTTCCTTGCTTTTTTTCGGGCTGAATAAAAAGGCTCTTTCTGCGTGTTTTTTTAATCTTCGGCTAGATTTAGTTTTGTCATTCTTCAACATGTTCCATCCATTGCCTTTTTCCTCTTCCAGTCCTTTATTTCCAGTCATGAAAAATGGGGGAAAAAAACCCCAAACCCTAAAAATACCTTAAAAGATAATTTTTTTCGCACATTTTCAGATACTGATAGAAGTAAGGCGTATGATAAAATGCAAAGTACTCAAAAAAAGAAGCAGAAAAATAATTTCTCCATTAATGAGTGCTGCAGAGAGAAAAATGAGATTTTACTTCAGCTTTTCATTTGAAAGAAAACAATAACATTGCATTGCCTTTTTTCTGATTTCTCCTGTAGAGGCTTTCAGCCACAGGACCACAGGAAACAAGAGGTGCACACACTCACTCTTGGTGTTATGCTCTTGATTTCAGGCTGCATTCCCACTGCAATGACCCCTCCCTGGATGACCCAATCCCCCAGGAATATGCCCTTTATTTGTGCCCCACGGGCCGCCTGCACAGCCGCCTGCAGGAATTCTGGAAGGAGAGCAAGCGCCAGTGTGGCAAGAACAGAGCCCACGAGGTTTTCCCACACATCACCCTCTGCGACTTCTTCCCGGTGAGGCAAGGAGAGTGCAAGGCTTGGGTCTCAGCTGGGTGATATTTGGGGAAACTGGGCCACCTGCTGTTGTCTGACACCTGAACTTGTTGGTGATCAAATGGCATGACCCAGGTCCAGGCACATTGCTCAATGTCTGAGTGATGCTTAATGTCTGAGTGATGCTCGATATTTGAGTGATGCTCCATGTCTGAGTGATGATTGCTTGAGTAATGCTTAATGTCTGAGTAATGATTAATGCCTGAGTGATGCTCCATGTCTGAGTGATGATTGCTTGAGTAATGCTTAATGTCTGAGTAATGATTAATGCCTGAGTGATGCTCCATGTCTGAGTGATGATTGCTTGAGTAATGCTTAATGTCTGAGTAATGATTAATGTCTGAGTGATGCTCCATGTCTGAGTGATTGTTGGAACCCTGGAAACTGAGAGTTCTGAACATTCTGTGCTGTCAGGCACTGACCCCCAGGAAAACACTGCTTTTGACCTGAGGCCTTGGAGAAGGCTTCCAAAATTGAGTGACAGAACTAGAGCCAGTGTTGTGTAGTTTGAATAAAAGTGTGTAATATCACACAGTGGAAAATTTGGAATTTGATGTTTTAGAATATAGTAATATGTGGAAAGCAAGATGGAGGTTTTTAGGATGGAGGTTTCTTTCTTCTTCACCCTCTTCTTCACAGGTCTAGGTGGGATCTTGTTTAATTGGATGGAAAATGCCTCACTGCAGGTCACAGTTAGTTGGTTATTGAGTCAAAAATAAAAATAATTTAGGTGTTAGCTCTTAATTTTAGTTAGTTTATGTTTAAAAGAGAGATACATCACCATTTCACCATTTTTAGCTTGTTATCTAGAAGTGCTGTGGCACTCACTGTAACATAGATAAGACTTAATAAACATCTGATTCCAAACACAAAATTCCATCTCGAGCTTTTAATCCCGACTCTGGGAGAGGAAAAAAAAAAGATAAAAGAAGATGCAGTGGTTCCCTGTGTGAGGATCAAACTCAAGAACTTCAGATTGTGAGCCTAAGTGATGATTAATGTCTGAATGATGCTTAGTGTTTGAGTGGCAGTTAATGTCTGAGTGGGACGTTTTGGGGTTGCTGATCCATCTGGAGCAGCCCTGTGCAGTGCAGCTGCTGTCAGGTGTCCATTGCTACCTGCATTTATGATGGCAAACCTTCCCAGGCAGGGCAGCAGTGGAGCAGGGACAGTGTTATCACAGGATGCAGACAGCTTTGGCACAAACCTGGGGAAATCTCAGGAAAAGCTCTGCCTTCCCTAGAGAGCCCCATCAGCAGGTCACTGCTATGGTGGCATGTCCCAGATTTTATTCTTTTTATTGAAGCTGAAGATTTTGTGAAATCTTTTGTGAAGTCCAGCACTGGACTGGTCTGAAAAAACTCTGGAGCCTCCTGGAATCTAGTTTTAGCATGTTGATGGTGCAACACATGAACATCAGCTGCATCTGGGATGTGTTAAAACAGGCTTTGGCTAGAGCAGCTGGATAAAAATTATTTTGTTCATCATGCTGCTATATTAAACCATTAAGTGCTTGCTTCCCCATAAGGGTGGGTCATTGCAACCATGCCAAAAAGTAGAGACAGTGAAAATAAGATTATTTTGTTGCAAAATACTGAGTGGTGCTCTGTGACCATTAAACACATTATACAGAACAAAAAATCTTTAATTAATAATGAATGCCATGCTCTTGGGAAGCATCAAGTTTAAAAGCCTGTGTGGAAGAGGCATTGCAACCCTCACCTTGCACATCTCAGTAAAGGATGTGGGATAACAATAACACAAATTACTACTTAGAATTGAAAAGGGAAATCATGATCCTTGTCTCATTTCAGACTGATTATTGCACACCTGACAGATGGTAAAATATTTTGGCTTTTTCCTATCCAGGCTAGACAAACTTGGGTTGAAGGCTCCATCTCCTGTTAGAGAACCAGGACATTGTGCTGATCCAACTGCCAAATACTGCTGGGTTTAATGCCAGGAATTTCAGGCAAATTCCTAGGTATTTTAGGCAGATTCCTAGGTATTTTGTGTTTCTCAGGAAGTTTATAGCCCCACAGTTTTCTGGCAGTCTTATATGACAGAGGTTACAGCACTGGCTGTGAGCTGATGGATAAAGCCTGCTCCTCTTCTGTTTCCTTTCAGTGTGAAGACCAGAAAGTGGAATTGTTGTATGACGTCCTAAAGCGAATTGGTGACAGATTTTCCCAGAGCTTCCCAGCATCCATTTCCCTAACACTACATGCATCCCACAGCTACCTTGGCTTCTTCATTGATGACAGCCAGGCAAACATCCTCAAAGAGTTTGCTGTGGCATTCTCATCAGAGGCTTCAGCCCTGGCAGGTAGGACCAGAGGGAAAACGGGTGGGTTGTAGCACAAATGCATAGCCACAAACATTCCCTGTATCTCCAGGGGAGCTTAGATGATGTTTTCCTGCCAGAAAACAGCGTTTTCTCCTACAAATTTGCAAGCAGAGTAGCCAGAGGAGTATGTTTTAGTCTTTGAAGACACTGCACTTTTGCCTAGAAGCTGAAATGATGCTGTGTGCAACTTGGCAGGTGATTGCTCGGGATATCCAAGATGGGCAGAGACATGACACTCCCCAGATCTCCACCCTCATGGTGCTGTGGCCCAGCTTGATGGCCTGGCAGCATCCCCAGGAATAGGGGCTAATACCTTTTCCAGGGGAAGCTACATTACCAGTGGAGACTGGAGGAGCACAGCATCACCACAGCTTTGTCTGGGAGAAATGAATTCAGTACATCTCAGGCTGGGAGAAGAAATCAAACCATGATCATTTCTTTTCCTCACAGATGAAGCCAGGAAGCAAATCCAGTCCACATTTGTGAATGATTTTGGTCTGGTTAAAACCATGACACCCTTCAAAACCATTACTCAGTAGATCTACTCTACCACTAGTTACTATATTTCCTGCATCACGCAGATTGTGCAGGATAAAACAAGAGGAGCTTTAAACAACCTTTGTTTCTACGTTGTGATGTGATTGTTTCATCCCTAGACTGCCACGTGAAGCCCTCCTTGAAGCAGTTCCACCTTACCTTGGCTCACAGGTTTTATCCTCACCATCAGAAGACTTTGGAACAACTGGCCAAGTGCATTAACCCAAAGGAGCCCTGCCAGTGGGTGGCTGCTCTCTATTCACGGGACATGCGTTTTGTGCATTACCAGGTACTGGAACCAGATCTCTTTCTTTTCCTGAGCCTTTAATTTTCTTTGCTACAGTCATCTTGCCTCTTCCATCCTTAAGAAAATCTCTGCCAGCTCAGCACAGGACTTCAAAGAGCATGGTTGTTTCCAGTGCCATTTTGGGCTGAAAAACTGCATTCCTGAATCAGTAGATAACACCTTTATTTTGGTAGGTTGCTTGACCTGCATGTCTCAAAATCTATTTCCAAACCCCAGCAGAAAAAAACTCAATCTCACCATGACATGAGAAAATAAGAGACAGGAAATCATGATCCTTTAATATTTTCTAGGATTTGTCAGTTTCCAGTTTTGCAGCAAAATTTCCTTCAGCAAAATTAGTTTTTTCTTGATTGTTCCAGCCATGATGAAAACTGCAGCAGTGAGCAGGGGTCAGTTCTCACTGATGATTTTCTGCTTAGCAGACTCTTAGTTGAAACCAGTTGACATTATTTCAGTTCTCTTTTCCAAATTTAAATTATGGAATGTTCAACAGCTTTTTGTCAGATCAGTAAATCCCTTTGTCACAAGTCTCATACTGGATTTTGGTCACACTCAGGAGAGCTGCAAGCAATCACAAAAATAGGTCAGGTCTATGTTTGTTTTCAAGTAAGTCAGTACCAATTATAGGGAGAAAAGAGTATTTTTGTGAAAACCAAGTGCCTGTTTGTCACTGTAGAGGCAGGCACAACGTACAAAAGGCACACTACATTTCAGAAGGCTAATACCCGTTTATTACAACAGTGCACTGTCTTTTATACCCTTTACACAGTTTACACTTTTCTCATTGGTTACAATTAGTCAACATAAAGGTCATTGGTGGAAAGTTCTCCACCTCTATTCTTCTCAGGACCTTTCTCAGAATACTTTCCAGAGCTGCAGGGATTTTTTTCCTGGTTATCTTCTCTCCTCTTCTCTTCTTGGTCTCTATGCCAACAACTTTGGTCAGAGAATACTTTTCAAAACAAACCTCCTTCATTAACCCTCTCTAACCCACAGACCAGCTGTGGGTCCTACTATAGCTCTTTTTACACATACTCTAAGTGTGGTAGTGTCTTCCTTTTCCTCTGCCCAAGTGCCACTGAAGAGAAGGTTGCAGAGTGGAAAGCAGAGCTGGTTCTGTGTCCGGGTAGGTGAGCAGCCATCCCCTGAGCAGCTGCAGCACGGGGAGCATCCTGACCCCGCTGTGTGTCCCTGCAGAGGCTCAGGGCCCTGTTCCAGTACAAGCCCCAGAACATTGACGAGCTCATGATCAACGCTGGGGACCTGATCTACGTGGACCCGAGGCAGCAGGGTGATGTGAGCGAGGGCTGGGTGGTCGGCACCTCGCACCGCACCGGCTGCAGGGGCTTCCTCCCCGAAAACTACACCGAGAGAGCCCACGAGGCAGACACCTGGGTCAGGCACAGGTAACCTGGGATTCCATGCCTGTGAAATCTCCTTCCTGCCCAGGAGCCGTGGCAGATCCTCCCTGGGCAGAGGGGGAATCCCGAGGGTCTGGGTGGGATGCTGGGGCGTCTCCTGAAAGAAAAGAGACAGGACACACACCTGCAGACAGCCAGAGTTCATAAGTTCAGCTGCTCGAGGGATGACCCCTGTTCACTCTTGAAGAACCTGAACGCCCTAATGAATTTTGAAAGAGCACATTCTGTCAGGGCAGGCTCAGCCTTCAGACTGGCTCTCTGCTCTCTTCTTATTTTGCTCATTTCAAAGGCTTTTAGAGTTAGCTTGAAATGAAACCACACAGAAACCTCCACCACCTTGGCACCACCCTTATCTTGTTGATGTGCCCTGCATCAGAAGGCACCTGTCTGGCTTCCTGCACTTCACTCTGCAGCAGACATCCTGCAGCACAGCTGATGCTACTTGTAGATTAGAGCTGACTTTTCTAAGATGGGAAATTTTGGTGTCCTTCTTGATGTCTCAGAGAGAGGGAGGAGGCCACCAGGTAGTATTTCCTGCTGGAAGCTTCCACTTTAGCAGGGCTACACCCAACATACACCATCAGTTCCTAATGTTTTAACCTCATTTTTATGGGCCGTATTCTAAATGAACAGCAAAGTGATGAGGTGGATTGCAAGTGTGCAAAAAGTATTGAATGGAACATGAATCCTGACTTTCTGTTCCTGCAAACAACATCATGACTCAAAAGTCTCTTCTAGTTCAGTACCTGTATGTTGTGTGTGTGTGTTGCTTCTGTTTTTTCTACAAGGAATATGTCTTTGCTTTTTCTACAGGGAATATGTCTTTGACACAGCTTCAAGATCCTTTAACAAGACTGAAAAAGATCCCAATATAAAGCTAAATGGGGAAGCCCATAATCTCAGTGGATCAAGGAGTGTAACCAATGTTGTTTCTCTTCAGGTAATTGGTTTTTCCATTTCTTATCTTTGCCACATGCTTTGGCAGCTATGCTATTAATTAATGGCATTTAGTAAATTTAGTAGTATCTTCCTTTTCCTCCCTCATACCTTGTTGTATGTGTACACACTGTTTTATTTATTATATTGTACATTTATATATAAATACAACACTCAAACTGTGTATTTTATAATATCTCATAGGTTTTTTTGTAATGTATATGATGTATATCACACTTGTCTTTAAATATTTCCCTGTTCCTGTCATAATAGCACAACACATGAGTTCTTTGCTCAGGTTTCTCTGAGCACAGCCTCAGTGGGTATGGAGGCAGGTAAAACAAAGGCATAACCTCCCCTGACTTCCACGTGGCTTGAGGCAGAGTAACTAAATCTGAATTAGGCTCACTTTTCATGACTGCTCTAATTTCCAGATTCCATGGATGTTGCCTTGGAGGCTTCCATCATAGCCCCAGATCACTTTTAAATGTTCCATTTTCTTCTTTATTTTTAGATATGTAGCTAGTTCAGGTAGCTGAACAGAACAGCTAGCTGGAGTGGTTAACAGCACTGGTAGGATCACATTTGTCACCCAGGTTCAAAATCAACAGGTATCAATTTTTCCCATGTCCACTAGTCTTTTGGTAGGAAGAGCAAAACAAATGAGGACTCTGATTTTTTTTCCTACAGCACATTTGCACCTGCATTGCCTTTTTGGCTCTGTCAAAGATGTCAAAATGCATTTTCAGCACAGACATGTCTCAGAAACCCCTTTAGCTTGCTGGCCCCACAGCCTCTCCTCCTGCTGTGCTGGGCAATAACTGTGGGCTGGTTTGTGCTAACATCAGAGGAACTGAGGCACCCTGAGGGAACTTCCATCCTGGGGCCTCCAGGATACCCTGAAAGAACTTTCTGAACAAGTCACACGTCCTTCCTCTGGCTCTTGGCCTCTCTTATCCAGGTCAGATCTGTGCCAGAGCCAAGGCTTGACCTCAGAAATGTGTTTTGCAGATGGGCACATCTCTTAGTCTAGAGTTTCCCTGGCCTCTGAGTTCCTCTCAAGGAGAAGAGGAAGAGCACAAGACTTTGGGTTTATACTCTGATCTTGTGGCAGTTAATGGGTATTTCATGGCAGAAGTGCAAGTATTTGATAGAATGCATGAATATCAACCTCAAACCACTTCTTAAGAGTTCTCTTGCTGAAGATGCAGAGCACTTACCTCAGTGCTGCAGCAGTAATTCTGTTTTAGTTTTAAAACCTTTGACCTGTTTCTCCTTGATCTTCTTGTCATCTGTATTTAATGTGCATTGAATACCAACCCCAAACAACTTCAAACTTATTTATAATTCCATGCAGTCTAAGTAACAAAAGTGGCATTGTAGGAGATCTGGGTTCACTGTTGATTTGGTCACACAGTTATGAAAATGTAGAAGTGGCATTTTCACTAGGAAAAGAAGGAGAAGCTTGGTGTTAGTCCTGGTGTAGAAAAGGGCATTACCAGTCAGATTCAGCTAATTTTCTGGGTTTTGTTTATATTAACCGTATGATATTTAAAGTTATGATTCCTTCCCACAGTGAGATTAAAAGATCTCTTTACCAGCATTGTCTTTCACTAGTGCTAACACAGAATTAGAACCTGCAGCCCATGCACCTTTGACAGGACAAGAGGAAGTGTTCTTAAGCCACACCAGGGGAGATTCAGGCTGGATATCAGGAAGAATTTTTCCACTGAAAGGATGGTCAAGCATTGAACAGACTTTCCAGGGAGGTGTTGAGTCACCAGACCTGGAAATGTACAAGAAACAATTGGATGTGGCACTCGGGGCTGTGGCTGAGTTGACAACGTGCTGATCAGTCAAAGGTTGGACTCAATAACCCCAAAGGTCTTTTCCAAACATAATGATTTTATTATTCTCTTTCATTTGCCATTAGTGGAGAACCAGTCAGGCTTATCACTTTCCTAAGGACAGGCATCTATTATTATTATTCTGTCTCTTCTCCAGGAATCTAGACTTTTCCTGCAGGTTATAGATAACATGCTTCTGAAACTCCCTTTTTCCAGAACGCTGCCCTGCAGAGAGGGGTGCTGGTGATGCACCACGGGGAAAGAGTGGATCAGGTCTTTGGCAAATCTTGGCTTCAGCAGTGCCTGACTGCAGATGGTGAGTAATGGGAGGATCTTAAAAAAGCAGGATTAAACCCAATTAACCCCAGTAATGGGTAGGAGAGATTCAATCTTTGTGTAAATGTCAACACTGGCACAAAGGAGTGATAATAGTGCAAGTCAGGCACAGCACTGCTTCAACCTGCACATAACCAGGTCACAATGTCCTGAAGTTCTTCATGTTTATGCTCAATAAATTCTGCAGGTAAACAAAGCTCTGCTGCTGCTGATGGAAATGTCTCTCACTGGTACATGAACAAATCACAGGAACACACTCATCACCACTCATTATGCAAGGTGGTGGTTGTCAGACCCCTCCACCTTTCTGTGCCTGAGTCAGAATCATTGTTTCTTGATCATCTTGATCAGAGTCACACTATGTTACTAGTCCGACCTGGGGAATCTGTGGTAGAAATGAAATGTCAGCAATGACCTAAATTAAAATCTGAATTTCCCCCCTCTCTCTCAGAAAAAAAAAAAA